GGTCAATGGACCCAGATCCCCAGGTGGTATCAATGGGCCTCATTCCACTGGGGGTCAATGGGCATCGCTCCATTAGAGTCAATGGACCGAGATCTCCAGCTAGTATCAATGGGCCTCATTCCAGTGGGGTTAATGGGCCCAGATCCCCAGCTGGTGTCAATAGAGTACAGCCAAATTACCCTAGCTGGGGATCTGGCCCCACCCCTGCCAACCCCAGTGGGTCAATAACAATTCATCCCCCCCACATACCAGCCAGCCCCAGAAATATATTACCACTGGTCCCGGGCACGTGCAGAGCCAGGAGCGCTCCTGCAGCCGTGGCTGTAAACCCCCCTGCCCGACCTGGCCCGTCACGTTTTCTGCGGGGTCTCTAAGGTGCTGCCGTTGATCCGCCTAGCGCCGTGCTGCCCGGGCGCCGCCAGCAGCGGGTGGGTGAGGCTGACCTGAGCGTTGCTGAAGGAGGCGATCCGGCCGCTGCCCCCGATCTGGATGTTGACGGTGGTGGAGTAGCTGGCCCGATGGGGTCCCGTGTCCCGAGCCAAGTCCGCTCTCGCTTTGGGGTACTCCTCTGGCGAGCCTGGCGGCCCCATGCTGCCTGCCCGGTCAGCGTACCTGGAACGCAAGCCGGGGACGTCTGGCCACTTGATGCCATCCAGTTCGTCGGGGCTGGGACTGGCTGAGTTGCTAGGGGGCGCCCCGGAGCAGCACCCCGCCCTGTCTCCGTCTCTAGGGGACGGGGGGCTCTCGGGGTTTCCCCTCGGCCTCCTGCCTGGCTGAGGTAACGTGGCGGAGGGATGGGAGGTGGGCTGCAGGGGGGAGGAGAGGCGAAGGGTGGAAGGCTGGGTGGGGACGTGCAAGGGGGCGAAGGAGCAAGGCCGTGGGGGGGCGCAGCCAGCTCTTCCCACTGCGTGGCGCTGGCTGGAGGGAGGGGGGGAGCACACCCGGGGGCACGCCGGCGCTGGAGACTGGACCCTGGAGCTGGGCTCTGAAGCGGAGGAGAAGGGGGCGGGCTGCTTAGCCCGGGGGACCGGGCACGTCCCTGAGAGACGGTCGAAGGCCAGCAGCACGGCCGAGCCAGACGCCAAGGGGATGGGCTCCCCCAGCCAGCTGGAATCGCGGCAACAGCCCGGGGGAGAGGGCGCCCCAGGGCTGGCACAGGGGGAAGGGCAGACACTGAGCTGGGAAGGGTCCCGCGTGCTGGTACCATGGGACCAGGCGTTGGCCTTCTCACTGGGGAATGGAGCAGACGGGGGGGCTGGGGCTCTGGAGCCCAAGAGGCCAGGGGGCAGTCTTGGGACGGCTGCGCAAGGAGGCAAAGGCCTGGTGGGTGCCGGGGTCTCTGTCGACGGAGACTGGATGCCAGGTGGCCCCAAGGGGCAGGATGATCTCGGGATGGCTGAGCAAGCAGGCAGAGGCCTGGTGGGTGCTGGAGTCTCTGCTGCAGGAGGCTGGGTGCCAGGTGATCCCAAGGGGCAGGAGGACGGTCTCGGGATGGCTGAGCAGGGAGGCAGAGGCCTGGTGGGTGCCGAGGTCTCTGCCAGTGGTGGCTGGGTGCCAGGTGGCCCCGAGGGGGCACCATTTCTCTTGGCCAGGCTCTGGCTGATGCAGGAGGCGGCGATGTACCTGGAGATGGCCGCGGCGCTGGAGGAGAGGCGCCGGTGTGCCGGGGAGGAGGTCTGGAGGCGCGGCAGAGCCGGGAGGGGGCCGGAGCTGGGCGAAGCGGGAGCCGACCGGACCACGGAGCGGCTGGGCTGGGCAGCTGCAGCCGAGGACAGCTCCGGGGACGGGCGTGCCACTCCCGTGGCCCGGGAAGGCAGGCGGGTGCCCCGGGACGGCAGAACTGCCAGGGGCAGGACGTTGCTGTGGAGCGGAGACGGGGATCCCGCAGCACCGGAGGGTGCCGCCGGCGGGATGGGGTCCGGCGCGGGAGACAGGGACGCCTCTCCAGTCCCGCAGCGGACGGGCCCCGGCGATGGCTGGGGGAGCAGCGCCTCAGTGCCAGGCCGGGAATCCCTGCCCAAAGCCAGGGCTCGCTCCTCTGGCAGCAGGACGGCGACGGGCCCGCTCTGCTCCCCCGCCGGCTCCGGGGGGCCAGCGCCAGGGATGGAGGGGCCCGGCCCCAGCGGGTCGGGCTCGGCGGACGTGCCGACACACGCAGGCTGCTGTTCCGCCGCAGGGCTGGGGGAGGCGGCTGGGACCAGCCCGGCCACCTCCGACGCCGGCTGGCTCGGGGCCGCTTCCCCGAAGGGAGAGGAGGCTGCCGTCTCCGCAGAAACCTCCCTGGCGCTTGGCTCACCCCGGCGCCCGCAGACCGCCAGCTCTGCCCCTGCCAGCCCGGCTCGGCAGCCTGGCACCGACGGGCACCCGGCTCCCTCAAAGTCCCTGGCTTCGGGAGTCGTGCCAGTTCCACCGGTCGCGTCAGGAGCCGGCGGGGGAGAGCTGCCCATGACGGGGCCTTCCCCAACCGGATCGCCTGGGCTCGGGGGGTCCCCGCTGAGCTTCGGGGGCGATTCCACCAGTGGGGGGGGAGGCTCCGGCCGGGCGGCTCCCGGCTCCTCTGCCGGGGGCGAACCCAGGCACCGGGAAGCCAGGAGAGGTGCAGGCCGGTCGCTGCGCAGATCCAGGGCGTTCCCTCGGGCGGCGGCCACGAGCAGCACGTTCTCCTGGACGCAGTTCACGTGCAGGGGGGGCTCGCGGATGAGCACGTGGCCGTAAAGCCGGGGCTCGCCTGGGGGAGACAAGGGGAGAGGGGTCAGCGGTGCCCCGTCGGCTTACGCCCCTTATCCCCACGTGCAGCCTAGGGGGCAGAACACACGCGTGAGCCTCAGGAGACCCGGTTCTAGTCCTTGTGCTGCTCCGGGGTGACCTTGGGCAAGCCCTGTGCCTCAGTTTCCCCATCTGTAAAAAGGGGACCCAATTTACCCCCCCTTTGTGAAGCACTTAGAGACCTGCTGAGGGGACGAATCTCGCCTACTGCAGGGCTGAGAAGGCGGCCCCAATTTACCCCCGAAGCTAGGGGTGCAGGCACCCAAGCAGGACAGAGCCCAGGGTCAGACCCTCCCCCGGTGTGAACAGGCATTAGGAGCCACAGAAGTCAAAGGAATGGTGCTGGGTCCCGCTGCCTGGGAATATGACTCCGGCGTTCACCCTGGCTGGGGACCCGTCCTAGCAGGAGGACCAGCCTGGAATGACTGTGTGTGTCACCGAACGGGGCCCAGCTGCGCCCGTGAACGCTTCCTGCACAGGGCTGATGAGTTGCAGGCTGCAGGGATAGTCCCCACCTCCTTAGGGTAGATGGGACTAGAACCCACGTCCTTGAAATCCACCCCCGGCAGCTACGGCTCGAGCTGAAGGAAAGCCCCGCAAGCTGCCCGCTCCTGCCACAGCCGGCACAAAGACCCCTCTGCAGCTCCGGGTCGCTCCCTCCACCCCTGGGCCCCAGGATGGCTTTGCTGGGGCTCCGCACTCCCGTCTGGCTGGGCGGCTCTGCGCCGGCCGCACGCTGCGGCAGGGACCCGTTCGTTATCTAGCTCTGGGACAGGCCGGGTGGCTCCGGCGCGCAGTGCGGCCTGCTCTGGTGTCCAGGCACCCGGGGACAAACGCTCGGACAGCAAAGACGGACGTAAGGAGGGATCCAGATACACAGACCTGGGAGGCAGGGGGCAGGGAAAGCCAGCGGCCGGGGAGCCGGGGGCAAACAGGCCAGGGCTGCTGGAGGCTCAGAGCCTGCCCCGATCTGGACTCCACGTTACCCCATTGCCCTGGGACCCATCATGATTCTCCACACAGCCTAGAGAGTTGAAGGAGGGACTGGCTGGCTCAAGGG